GGATGAGTTTTAAGGATTTCACTTCTTTTTCTGTTTGATGTAGTGTTCTCTGAAAGCATACGGCGCCACATTCCATTCGAATTTCCTTCAATGCTGCACTTTAGACAAACTAGCGCAAAATTTCCAAAAATTTGTTCATCGCGGTGTGGTGTGTCAGCGTCTACAAAATCGCCTTGGGTATAACCGATTATCAAGCGATGAGAGCGATTTTTACGCAGCGACCGAAAATTGTAACGACCTGATCGCCGGAGGTATGGTTTTAGGCCATACATATCTATACGAATTTTCATGCAAGAATTCCCCACATCTACCTTGAAAGTAGGGATAGATCCTTGTAGGTGAAGTTCGATATACGGCGACGGATTTATTTTGCTTGTTCTCTTCCCAATGACGTTTGCATGATTGAGCTTGATGTCCTCACAGGTGATATCCTCACAGTAGGTACAGTAGGAGGTAACTATGCCGCACAGCTGACTACACGAAAACGCAGGTGCACAGACAAATACGCAGTTGAATTGCCTGCGTTGTTTGAACTCATATATCGCATTAGAAGTCAGGTATAAAAGTCAAATTTGATTAACTTTCATCCGTGTTTCTACCTGATCCACATCCGGTAAGTCCGAAGGTCTTTAACACATTGAAAAAATTGTTTTGGATGAATATGGCGTTGGAAACTTCTCCATTCTCTCTTTAACGAGAAATACACTATTTTCCGTATAAGGCTCACCCATGTATACTGCGCATATTCCCATTAGTTAGCGCAAAAGGTGGGCATTAAGGTTGCGCTTAGGATGGGGATTGATTGAACGGAGGCTTTAGTTCAAAATCTCAATGGTGTAATTCACTTTTGATTGACTCTAACGAAGCTTTTATAGAAGATGTGAACGATCTCATTTCTTGCCATAATGATTTTTGGTATAATGAGTTTCGAAGGTGATAACAGTATGAGTGTTTACGTGTAAAAATTTTGTTCTGCAGAACATGATGAATCAGTTACAGTCAGTTTCCCAAAAGCTCATGATCACAAGAGGATTTACAGGGGACAAATGCACAAAACTATGCGAAAAGTTGGTACCGCTGGCCATAAAAGGTTACTGGGAATAGTTGGTCTATCCATGAATGGACGCTGTTGCCAGAGGTGTTAAAATAAGAGAAAACGAGTCATTTTTGCACCAGACCTGCTTCAGTTCTATTTTTGTCCATCGCTAATAAAACGTTTCGCTCAACCTCCTCCCCCCCCCTCTCTCCTTCCCATAAAAATTCGTCGTTTTCCATCCAAACTGTGAACAGAAGGTAAAAGCTGTCTTAAGTTGCCGTTCAGCCCACCCATCTTTTCCAGTCTTTTATATTGGTTTCAACTTGCGCATATGAACTCATATAAACAGGTTTAGAAAATCTGAAAAAGTGAGAAGAGTTGAGGGCCAGCACAGCTGGGAGAAAACCATTGAAAATTGAAAAGCGTCAAAAATTTTCAGCCTAAGAAGCCTTTGTAAAAATATTTGCATGGAACATAATAAAAGAATGCGTAATGAGTGGTCGCTCTCAAAGGCAAAAAGTCTCGCTCACCTTCCCACAATAGAACGATCCCAATCCGAGGTGGCGAACTGGAATAAAACTGATGAGCTGATTTCAAACACTCTCCATATCAGCAATGCGGTCCGTTGGAAAAAGGCACGTTTAAAAAAACAGTTGGTAATCAGTTCGTTAAAAGTGTGGAGTTATTATGTTCGATGTGAAATGTGCCTTGAGATCCAACCTGGGAATGCATGACTAGCATGAGAGTGTGCTGTTTTTTCATAAGGTAAGCTCACATCCGAGAACCAAACAAATGTTTTTGAACAACCAATTCATGCAAGTGTAGCGCTTAATATTTTCAAATTTTGACTTTTGAAAATTATAACTTTTTCCAAGATTCGCATTGAGGGAAGGCAGATTTGAAATGAGCTCATCAAGACGCATTTAATGATATGCGTTTCAATCCAGTTCACCAACTCGACTTGAGATCGTTCCATTGTTAGATATTTCCTGTGTACAACTGACAATGAGCTTAACTTTTATTACGTAACAATTTCAGTGATGTATTATAAACTGCTTATCATCGTGTTTCTGCTGTATGTGAATGCAGCTATGGGATGTCTCGAAGTATTTTGCGGACTTTTCAAAAAGCATGACGACCGTAGCATTGATGGATTAGTGAGTTTTGACTTTTGGAAAGTGGTCGTTGTGCGCAATTTTATCAATTTTACAGTGCCGGAAAACATGCCACATATATGCGGTGATGCCCGATCTTGACCTTCAGAAATATAAAGAATGCTTCAAAGGATGCGCCGAAGAAAACGGCATGAATAAGGAATATTTGGATAGAATATCACAGACAGTTAACACATATTCTACAAGTTCGCGATCATAGTTGTTTCAGCCATTAAGTATCATTGCTAAAATAAAATTTGCTGTTATACTCAAATTTACCATCAGTGAATTCAATGTTTGAAAAGCTGCAACCAAAGCCCAGCACGAGGGTGGCAAATGGGCACCTGCAAAACAAATTTCGTTTTCCTCAACAGAACCGGTTCGGTGCTACTAGGTCTTAACAAAAAGAAGATTGAAGGTGACAAGCGAGCAACAGTCTTTTAGCAAGTCGAGAAAATGGCACCTTTTTGTACATGTGCACGTATCACGGTATCCCCTATGGTTTTTTCCCCTAAAACGAAGTTCAGTTTGACATTCGCCCCTAATGCCAGACTCTGAGTACAACTTAATCACCTCAACTTTATGCAGGAGATTACTTTTTGAAGCTACGGTATACTCCTTTCACCGTAGACTGAAAATATTCGCTGGACCAGTTACAGTACAAAGATACTATTGGTGAAGCACAAAACAACGTATAAAAGCAAATCTTCCAGTTATCAGTTGGCTTCTTGAGAAATCATGGAAGAGTTGATAAATTATTTGCCACTAAAAAAGCCTCAGAGGTGATTCTTGATCCAAATTGAAGTTACCTCATCCTTACTTGGTTTTTACGCGCCTTCTGTCACAAACAATCTTCGGTAATTTATCGGAAGGTTGCCTGTAGGTATAGTGTATTAGGTTGTCCGGAAATTAATGCAGGTTTTGAATTTCAACCGCAATAAGTCATACATTTCTCATTTCTAAATAGGTTGCAAGGTACCATTCGATAGAGCAAAGCAAGCTCTACAAGGTGGCGATCTTGCTTTAGCAACAGCTCTGATCCACCACGAATTTTCAGCCAGAAACTGAAAAGATTCAACTGCCCGAAAAATTAAGAAAAATTGTAACTCAGTTCATAATAATCCTGCAAAAATTCTAACTTGCTCACGTAAATCCAATCCACATAAGACATCCATATACGCCGTTGCCGTATTTTTCTCTCTGTTATAAATCTAGAAAACGGAAATTTTTATGCATTTGCCAAAGTGGTGCTGTGCCGCCCCCACATAGGTAGTTGCATACTACAAACGAAAGACCAATCGAAACGATGGCTTTATTCGTTTATCACATGTTGACACAAAATGCAGTTGACAAAACAAATCACGTTATAAGGAGATTATTGCTTTTCTGCGTTGACTGCCTTGGGTCTTAATCTTTTTTCTTATTCAACTTTGAATATTGATTTTTTTTTGCGTGAAACTTTTAGTCTTGCGCTGTGCGTATTTGATTTTGCTGTTTTTGCAGTTTGGGCTGTGCATTATTTCATTTTGCGGTTTTTTGCAGTTTGTGCTACGCTTTATTTCCTTTTGAGGCTTTTGCAGTTTGTGCTTTGCGTTATTTCCCTTTGACGTTTTTGCAGTTTGCAGTTTGCAATTGCACTTGCTTTTGAAGTAGGTTCAAAGATGATTGTTAAAAAAAGAGAAAAATAAGTGAATTGAGCTCTTTTGTTTGTTTTCCTCCCCTTTTACATGTTAAATTGATATTGACAAAAAACGGAGTGATGCCTGGTCATCTCCGATAGCCTCATTGCCTTTTTGCAGAAAAAGCAAGTGCTTTTGGGCTGACAGGAAGTCGCCATGTGCGTTGCTGGGCCTAAGCAGCGCTCGCACCTATTCAGGTGTGCGATGCGCTCCCTACGCTCACTTAATGTTGAATAAATCATGCAGTTCTAACAGATATTGAGCGGTCCACAACGACCATAGGTTGTCCAGATACTTTACAGTGCTTTTCAGTTTTTGAAATGCTTCTTCTTTGGTTGTTAGTACTTCTATGTAGTCTTCGTCGTTCTCGTCATCATTATGCGATGCTAGTATGTTTTGTGTCGATTGCGGCATGAGAAAATCGATAGGGCGCACGATCAGTGAGTCTTCGAGTGAGCTGCCGCAGTATGCAAGGGGGCGAAAATTTATTATCGCTTCCGTTTCTGTGATTATGGTTTGAAACTGCGTTGGAGTGAGAGATGTTTTTCCTAGTGCTTTTCGCAAGCACATTTTCATTACACCAATCAATCTTTCGTAAAATCCTTCTTTCCAGGGGGATAACGGTGTTATGAATTTCCATTGAATCTGTTTCTTGCATGAGAATTCATTCAAAATATATTGTTGTTGTTGCTCTATACAATTTTTCGTTTCGTTAGTGATGATTTCTTTACCTAATTTGAAATTGGTCGCGTTATCTGTTATAATCGTGGATGGGACTCCGCGTCTTGCTATAAATCGTCGGAATCCATTAACCAATGCTTCAGAACTCGAATTTTCTACGATTTCCAGGTGAACGGCTCTTGTTGCCATGCAAGAAAACAAGCATACCCATTGCTTAGTGATTTCTGAGGTGGTGTGTAGCGCGAATGGACCTGCTAGATCAATTCCGACGTGATCGAATGGATGAGATGGTACCACTCTGCTTTGTGGTAACGCCGGACTAGCGGGATAGAAATAAGGTTTGCCGTTCCACTTTTTGCATTTTATGCAGTTTTTGAGTATTTTTCGAACTACCGTTCTTCCTTTTGGGATCCAATATTTTGTTCTTAAATTTGCCAATGTGCCATTTACCCCCTGATGACCAACATTTTCGTGGAATTCACGTGCAATTTGCTCTGTGGTTGTGTGGTTTGGCGGCAAAAATATGGGGTTGTTTGTGTCTATGCATAACTTAGAATGCTGTATGCGTCCATAGCATCTTAGTACACCGTCCTCATCTTTAATCAGATTCAAATGAGAGTATTTATTGATTGCTTGAGGATGATGCCTTTGAGTTATTTTTATGAGCTGTTTTTCAGCCTGTCGCATGTCAGTGGAACATGGTATATGCAATGGTGGGTCAAGTGTGATGCAGGCTATTTCAGGTATGTGGTTTTGCAGATACTTTTGTTTTTCCTTACTTATTTTTGAATATATGAGTGTTTTGAGAAATTTCAATACCAGTACCATGACTTTTTTGCTTCGATACCAAGATGACGTTTGAATAACTAGTGAATCTTTGTTTTGGTTCTCCCCTTTCTTTGTCGTCGTTAAGACCGATGTTTTGCTAGGTTGTTGATGTGAATTCTGCCCTGAACTCCGATTTTCCTCAGAGTCCGTTTCTGTTGTTTTCGTCGGTTCTCCGGGGAAGTATGTAATATGCTTCCATGTTTGCTGGACCTGCTTCAAGAATGCGGGTCCTTTCCACCACATATGTTTACTGAATTGATCGGCTGTTACTCCTCGCGTTGCGCAATCTGCAGGATTCTCGTTTGTAGGAATATATGCCAATCGACATGAAGTTGAATTCTTTTCAAGTTCTGATATGATCTCTTTTACAATGGTGACGCGATTTTCAATAAACGTGCTTGTCTTTTTGTGAATTTTCATCCATTGTAAAGCTATTTGAGAGTCGCTGAAAACGTGAACTTCTTCAATGGGTATGTCCAATTCTCTACATATGAAACGTGTTAGTTGCATGCCTAACTGAAGCGCTAGTAGTTCCAGTCGTGGGATTGTGAGATTCGATTGCTTTGTTTGAAGCTTTTTTGGAGCGAGTCGATTGCGTGCGGCCACGATCTGTGAGCTTATTACTTTTTCTTTACTTTCCACCATTCTCAAGTAGGTGCACGCCGCAAAACATCTCAGAGAAGCATCGACAAATGTATGCAATTGATATTTAATATTCGGTTGGCGGATTACTATTTGTCTTGGAAGGTTGATTTCAAAGTTTTCTCCTTGTGAACATATTTCTTTCCATTGAGCATCATGCGATGGTGATAATGGTGTGTCCCACTCGTAACTTTGCTCCCATAAATCTTGCAAAAACAATTTTGCTGGAAGCAGTATTGGCGCAAGCAATCCTAATGGATCGAATGTGCTTTGAGTGGCTCTCAACACTATACGTTTTGTTGGGCAAGGGTTATAATGCAGTTTTGATTGTAGCAGAAAATGATCGGCTTTTGGTTTCCATGGAATTCCTAAAATTTTGTGCTCTTCATGCTGTGCCAAATCTGGCTTTGATATTAGTGCATTACATTCTTCATCGTTGGTCATATATTCTCTCAAGTTCATTGCCATATTTTGAAATAGCTTCTTGCTCAGTTTGTATTTCTCGATTAGTTCATTTGGTTCGTCCGCGGTTAGTAGCACATTGTCTACATATAAGTTGCGTACTAACTCCTTTGAAATTACAGTGTCTTTGCTGTGTTCGAGCGAGTATCGTATAGACATTGCTAGTAAAAATGGTGAGGCATTGATTCCGAATGCTAATCTTCTGAACCTCAGTATTTCGACGTTGTCAGGCGTAGGAGGCTGTGTTGTATCAGTCAGCCAGAGAAATCTTACCGCGTCTCGATCAAGCTTGTTGAGGTAAATGGTATGGAAAGCCTTTTCCACGTCTGCTATGAGGATTTTGTTACCCACTCTTGCTCGAAGTATAATTCCGGTTGAGTTGGGTAAGAGAAGTGGTCCTTGGTGTACCACATCGTTAAGGCTCAACTCGCCTTTGCATTTGGATGATGCGTCTAGGACAATTCGGACCTTAGTTGTATGACTACTTGGTTTCAGTACCGCTTGGTGCGGAATATAATATAATGGGCTTGCAGCAGAATTTCCTCCTTTTGCTTTTTCTATGATGCCGTTATTGAATTGGTCACGAATTATTTTGAAATACTCCTCCCAAAGTTTTGGATTTTTATGGGCCAATTTGTATTGTTGATGCAGTCTACTCAATGCAAGTTTGTAATTGTTCGCTAGCTTATCTTTATTGGCCTTCCACGGAAGGCGAACATATATTAGGTTGGTCCGAAAGTTCTGTCCCACCATTTTCAAAGAATCATAACTTCTTCCTAAGACGATGTTTTTGCATGGCTAAAACCTTTTTGGAAAGAGCAACTCATGCACTTTCTAACGCTATGTTGGCTGCTATCTACTAAGCTCTGAATGCAGAGATAAAATCGGAGAAAGGAAATCACTTCAAGTTCGGAATTTTTAAGCAAGCCCGTTAAAAAATCGAAAAGTGTGTCATAAAATCCAAAACAGGCAGTATCCTAGGTTTTTTGATCCCCTCTTTCCAGCTGAGCAAAATTCGCGCTATGGAGCTCTTTTGAAAGGAGTTATGATTTTTTCAAAAAAATGCCAAATAATCAGTTTCTTAAGAAAACTGATTTTTTGACATTTTTTTGAAAAAATCAGAACTTTTCGAAAAACAGCTGGATCAGCGCAAACTTTACTTAGCCAGAAAGAGGGGGTAAAATAGTCTAGGATAGTGGCTGTTTTGGGTTTTACATCACAGTTTTGGATTTTTTAACGGGCTTGCTTAAAAATTCCGAACTTGAAGTGATTTCCTTTCTCCAATTTTAACTCTGCACTCAGAGCGTAGTAGATAGCAGCCAACGTAGTGTTAGAAAGTGCATAAATTGCTCTTTTCAACAAGGTTTCAGCCATGCAAAAACATCATGATAGGAGGAAGTTATGATTTTTTGAAAATGGTGGGACAGAACTTTCGGACCAACATAATATCTTTTTGTTGTGAATTTCTATAGTTTTGTAGAAATTATCGATAATTTTTTCGGTTTCTTCTTGTTCCGATAAGGAGTTGGTAATTCCCATACTCTCTAAACTGTAGGAATTGGGGTAATCGAAATTGTTTTCCGTTTGCAAGAAAAGTGTACATTTCTCATTGTAGGCTCCTGGCCCTGCATGCGAGTGCTTTCCTGAGATTGTGTACCCAAAAAATGTTAGACTCAAATAGAATCCTGAAGGTAACCTTACTGGTGGCTGGTTGGCAATGAAAATTTCATTGAAATAGTCAATTCCGAGCAAGATACTTGGTTGTGTTGCATCATGATCGATCTTGAGCTTAGTATTGTCTATTAGAAGTTGTCCTCTTATGAAAGCGAGGTCTTCCATGGTAAGATCACAAAATTTGAGTTTGTCTGTGATGTGATCTTGCGTCAGTAACGAGACATTTAGGGTTTCCCCGTAACTGTTGACAAGCGCTGTTTTTACTACTGTTGTTTTCTTTCTTTCTACGTGACCCCCAAAGGTTGAGACAACTATGGTTTGTTCCGAGAGTGAAGGCAAATTGAGTTTTCTGGTTACCTCTGTTGTAATGAACGAAGAATCTGAAGCTGAGTCGAGTAAGGCTGTTAGATTCTCCAGCTTTCCTGACTGAGTGTTCCGTACATATACTGGCACTGTCATTAGTCTGGTACACGAAGGACAATCTGAAATGCTGAAAGCTGGCGTTGATATGATTTTATCTTCGTGAATTGCATTGGGACTCGCTTTTGCTGTTGTTTTTGAAAAGGTTTCTACAACTGTAGGTTTCTGTGCCGAAACGTCTTCCGCAGTGCTGGCGTAATTGATAAATGTGACTCTTTTTTGTGGTGAAGTGCGGGTTGGTGAATTATGAGAGGATCTGCTGGAACTTCTGCTTCTATTTCTGTAGGTAGTCGGTAGTGTGCTTATCCCTTCATAATTAGTTTTCCGTGCTGGTGACGCGCTTCGCGATCTCCTTTGGTAGTTGTCGCGATATCTTCGAGATGGAGATGTAAATTGTCTTCTAGGTGATCGATTCTGCTTGAATATTGGTGATCTTGATGTTCTCGAAACAAAGTGATTCTGCTGAGACAGGCGGTCATTTTGAAACTTTCTAAAAGAAGCTGATACTGGTGACCTCGATCTTTGCGTCACGTTCTCACGCCAATTGCGAAAAGTGTCATTTTTGTAGCATAACAAAGAATGGTGATTACCATTGCAATATTGACATTTTGGCTTGTTGCATACGTGAGGTTGATGACGCTTGCTGAAGCAAATTAGACAGGCAATTAGTTGCCATAGTCGGTTGAGTTTCTCTTTGCGAGTTCTGTATCTGACACAGTCTATGAATCTATGTAATAATCCGCATCCAGTGCAGTTTACTGTCGTTGATTTTGTTTGAATATGAAGCGTGGACGATTCGCTTGTCTCCGAATCTCGTCCTTGAATGAAGCTAATGTGTATTCGTCGTTTTACAATGACATCTAAGTTGTCTAACAATTCTGCCATTGTCCATATCTTATTTGAATCATACTCCCTCTTTGCTGCTTCTTCTTGTACACTTTTGGGAAACTTGTTAGTGACCGTTTGTAGTAGATTGGTGCTGTCTACGGCTTCTCCTTGCCTACGCATCTCCGTAACCAGCGTTAAGATGTCGTTGTAGGTATTTTGAAGTTGACGTGGGTCGTCGCCCACTCTTGGAAGTGTTTGCAGCTTTCGTAGGAGCAGTGTTTTGTTGCGACGTTCATCTTGATATTGTGCCCTTAGCTGTTGAATAGCTAATTCATAGGATTTGGCGCTGCGCGGTATCATCCTTAATGTTCGCTCCGCGTCGCCTTTGCAACATGCTAACAGAATGGATAGTTTTTCTAGATCTGAATATGGTTGATTGTGTACCAACTCTTGAAATAGTTCCCAGAACGATTCGAATTCTGCTGGTTTTCCGTAAAAATCGGGTACTCGCAGTTCATGGCCGTATGGATAACGCCAAGGCTGTGGGTGATCCCGATTGGACGTTGTAGTAGCAGTAGTTTGATTATTTTGTGCGTGGGTCTGATTGAGATCTCTTCCTTGGTTACGTTCTTCCATAGCCTGGAAGAGTAAAGTACATCGTTTATTTGTTTCTTGAATTGGTGGTCTTGAACTTGCTACCTCTGAAGATGTTATGTTAACAGCTTGCTCTTGACATTCAAACTCCACGATTCGCACTTCCAGCTTTCGTCGAGTTGAAACACTGATGTCAAGACTTTCGTCTGCTTTGCGATTTTCCCAGTATGAATCGAATTCCTTTTCGAGACTTTCTCCGTATGTTGTGTTATTCAGTTTGAACGTTTCCAAGGCACGCGCTTGGTTGCTGTATTCGGTCATAATTTGATCTTCCTTTTCTTTCATTTGATTGATTAGGTTTTTGATTATTGCTCTGTTTGCCAATGTGAATCGGTGTATCTCTTCCACATTGGTTGGGAACTGCCACGGTTCCTTGAATGTATTTGCCTCAACAATCAAACTGGCAAGCTCATTGAGTTGCCTGGTTAATCGTTGCTTACAGGATTTCATGTTGAATTCAGATGCCATATTTCAGACACGACAGCCTTGGACAGACGACTCCAAGTATGAGGAGGCTATGTGACTCGCGTCTTATATAACTGTTGATGTTCCGTTGTGAGCTTGGATGAGTCTTTTGTTTTGTTTTCCATGTACTTTTGATAAACATATGCTGTTATCTTTTTTTTTCTACTGAAACATTTGTTTTGTTTTGAGAACCCGATGATAATGCATTTCTCACCGCGTTGGACTTTTGATGAGAATCGAAGATAATGAGGTTCTTTCAAACTTTGCCGAACTTTGTGCTAGCAAAATTGCAACCGTAATGGAGATCTCCTTTGTGCTCTCAGCAAGTTCCGGAAAATTCTTTGTGGCAGTTATTTCAGGTTGCCTGCCCTAGACGATTATTTCGGGTTGTCTTCCCTAGGCAGTTAATTCAGGTTGCCTGCCCTAGACGATTATTTCGGGTTGTCTTCCCTAGGCAGTTAATTCAGGCTGCCTGCCCTAGACAACTATTTTTCTTGTTGTCCATCTATATTTGGTTGAATTGATGTGCGCTTGACCTGTGCGTGAACAGCTTTGTGTAAGACGATAGGTGGCAAAAGTGGTAGTAAAAAGGGTTATTGCGAGGTGAAGGTGATCAGTCTTCACGACACTTTGAATGGAGTTGGAAAGAAAAACCAAGAAAACAATTCAAGAGAGAGAGAAAAAGGAAGAAGTAAAGCAACTGACTGTTCGCGCTTGACTTTGATTTTTTTTTCCACATTCATGATCCCGGCCGATGCACCATGTCTTGGCCAATAACAACCGGGTTCTAACATTTATTGATTGAAGTGTATTGACCAAGTGTAAGGTTCGTTAAAAGCATTGGATATATCACGAGCTTCTCCCTCGTCCGCTTCTCTTCCCTTTATACCGTCAGCGGGGCCCGCCTTCCTTACATCGTGAGAATCACGACACTGTAGAAGTAAAAACGTAAATTTTCAGCTCTCTACAAGCTTTAGTTCTCGAGAAATACCGAATATAGTCTTCATTAGTTAGTTGGCCAAACTAAAATTTAGATTTCTCGAGATCACTTTGGCAAATGCATGAAAATTTCCGTTTTCTTGATTTCTAACAGAGAAAAAAATACGGCAACGGCGTATATGGATGTCTTATGTGGATTGGATTTACGTGAGCAAGTTAGAATTTTTGCAGGATTATTATGAACTGAGTTACAATTTTTCTCAATTTTTCGGGCAGTTGAATCTTTTTAGTTTCTGGCTGGAAATTCGTGGTGGATCAGAGCTGTTGCTAAAGCAAGATCGCCACCTTGTAGAGCTTGCTTTGCTCTATCGAATGGTACCTTGCAACCTATTTAGAAATGAGAAGTGTATGACTATTGCGGTTGAAATTCAAAACCTGCATTAATTTCCGGACAACCTAATACATGACTACTTTTTTCTACGATGGATCCTCGTTCCAACCTTAGCCAATATGTGTTTATCTCCCAAAGTAAGGCGACATATGAAGGTATGAGGAAGTGAAACCAAGGAGGTCCCCGGGAACCTAAGAGAACAAAAAGATGGTAAAGATGTCCATGAAACGGCGATTACCATCACTTTCTCATGTACGAAAATTTCGTTTCAGATCATTCATCATTTTCTGTTGCACTGCATCCTTTCTCTAGTGTAATGCAGCAATTTCAGAATTTCTGATGCTCTTCAAGGATCAGATACCAAAACCTTGAAGCGTGATTCCGCGCTTTTTCAGACTCATGTCACAAAACTCCGCTTTGTCTCATTTTCGGACGATGAATACAAAAGGCTTGTCAAAGTTGCCCAACGCGTTTTTTCCTCATTGATGTCAAACTACTTTGAAACTAAGTACAGGGTGTCTCAGAATTTCCCAAAATTTTCAACTACATTTTCAACCTGGTGACTTTGTTATCATTCTTCGCTTTACGGTTAAATTTTGCTGATGGGCTCTACGTTCTCAATGGTTTCGAACATTCATACCGTTTATATTTTACCTCTCAAGAACTGTTACTGAAATAAAAATTAGGTACTCCGAGTTTGGAGTCAAGTCGTATACCCACTGTTCAAACATTTAGCTTTTTTGTCTTCAAAGGCTCTTACGAAGTTTGAGTTACAAATTGCAGGGCTAGCTTCGTTACTGTCAAACCAATCTCCAGCAGTGTTCATTGATGTAGGATTGTGGCACAAATCTTTGAGTAATGCTCTGCCACTAAGAATAACATTTTTCGGGTACATGAAATCGAAGAAGCTGAAAACACACCAAGTCATTCTGAGTCACTGATTCTAGCTGTAAGCCTCCCACTTTCTGCCAAAGTACTATTTTTAAGTTACTCCGCGTACTATGATCGCTGTTTTCTTGATGTTCTCTTGACTGTTACAGTTTAACACATGTGCATCTACAGATATACTTCTCAAATGCCATGCTTTCAGTGGCCGGGTTAAAAGCTCTTAACTTTTTTGTGATCAGTTGTGCTAAGCAGGGCTCTACTTCGCATTCAAACTTTGACGGTTAGGAACTCGCGCACAGGTGTGAAACAAACTCGACGACAACTATTGTTCATTTTTAGAATCGTGACGAGAGGTGACTGCGGTCTTTGCGCACACAGAAGAATAAACACCCATACAAAGAGGCAACACCTTGACGCTAAGCTCAGTCACTTCCAAAGCCTGAATACTATCACGGTCGCGTCATCGTCACGAATTTTCGAATGCCCTATACCTTTCTGCTACGGTGCGTGAGCTCCGCAAGCGTCCAAGGGCCTATGTGAAGTGCAAAGGAGCGTTATTCAGTTATTCAGAGTTTAAGTGCATCTTGTTGTTTAGGTTGTTTACAAACTACTTGCTAAATCTCACTTCGTCTATGTCTTGGGGTACACTTTCAGCTGAAAAAATGCTAGGGTTAAAGACTTTCGAGAGACACCAGCATTTCCCTTACTTTTTTTGGTTCAAAACTCTAATAGCTTGTAAAGATTATAGGTGACAGGTATGTTAAACGTCGCAGATTTCTGCTGTGAGCATAGCCATCTTTTCGATACATTCCAAACACCAAGTTTGTATCTCAAAGCATGTTTTGTGGCAGACATCTTCAATGTTAATCACAGTCATTTTAATGCTTACAATTAGTCTAGTGTTGCCGTTAGAAAGTGTGTTTTGATTTCTGGGATGGATCGATATACGTTGACATATCTATAGTGAAGGATTCAATTCAACTACTAATTTGTACTTAATTGAATTCACATGATTAACCTGGATGTCTTCACATGGTGATATACATCGAGAGGTAGAGTCCTATGCCCCCCAGGTGACCAAATACAAGCGCCTCGTAGAGGCATACTTGAAGTGATTCATCTGCCTGCCTTGTTTGACTTTTGTAAATCTCTGAAGTTAGGATAAAAGTCAATGTTTGGTAGCCTCACCAGCTCACTTCATATGGTATCCCAAATCGATCCACAACCGGTAAGTCTCGAGATCTCCGACATAGCGAAGAAGTTTGTTTGCACTAAACGAGGAAAGTAAATCTTATTCTCTTTCCCAGGAAACAAGGAGTGGTTTACCATATTTGCCATAGCGCCTTTACAAATGTTGATTTATTTTTTCGAGTTTTGCAGAATCGCAAAAAATGCGATCGTCTTCAATTTATTTCTCACATAACGCAAAAACTGCATACAGCTTATTCTTACGAAAAAATTACAGGAAGAAAATCTTATCCATTAATAAAAGCTAGTGCAATATTTGTTGCAATGAGAAGAAAATTGAAAATAAATTGAAATAAAAATTAACAATTTCTGCAGCAAACCATATTTTGGTTTCTATTTTGCATCGCCACCAAAAACTCTGTCCACGGTTTCCGTTCAGCCTCAAAATCAACTAATCCAGATTTTTATACTTGGGTTTTTGCTCAATACATCTACGAAAAAGCCGAATAGCCGAATTTTTAGACGACTGCCATTTTGGATCAGAGCATATTTTACAATATTGAGTTTGTGTAATATTTTCTGGCCATTAATGGTTCCTATAGTCTAAAGTATTGTTTTTTCAAAAAGTATTCTAGGATATGTACACAGAATCTTATGCAGTTTGTCGAAGAACTTTCATCGAAAATTAGCAGAATCAAAAGTTCAGAAAGCATATGACCCACCCATGGGTCGTATTCTTGTGAATATGTTAAACATATGGACTTCATATGGACAAGCACCGCAAAGTCAGAAATTTAGAAAGATTGATTGGCACGGGTTGAGGTGGAAAGGCCTTAGGATTTGGAGGCGTTTATAAACCTTTTCAAAGGTCTGCTCCAGTATGTTGGATATTTATCACTTACTGTACGATATATTATATTACTGAGCTTGTGTTACCTTTAGTGATGTACTTTAAATTGATCGTCATTTTGATTCTGCTGCATGTGTACGCTACTATAGCTTGCCTTGATTGTTTCGGTATGAGTTGCTTTAATTGGTTATTTGGACGGAGGAAAAACGACGAGGAGACAGACGAACGGAGGGAAAAGGACGAAAAAATAGACATGATAGTAAGTCTGAATTTTGGAGTGTGATTATTGTGCGTAATCTAACAATTTTACAGTGCCAGGGAAGATGCAAGAAATTTTTGGAGAAACTTGACCTTCAGGAGCATAGAAGCTGCTTCAAAAAATGCGCTTTCGAAGATCACAAAATGACTAAAGAATATTTCGATGATATATCAAGGGTATTCAACACATATTATCCTACAAGTTCACGATCAAATAGTCATTGTAGTTTTTGAGTATCATTGCTGAAATAAATTTCGCCATTTCATTTTACCGACAGTTAATTCAATATATGAAATGTGCTATAACCAGGGTCTGGCACGAGGGCGACAAATGCGCACCCTTGAAACAAATTTCTTTTTTCTCAAAAGAATCGAGTTGGTGCTGCTGGGACCTAACAAGAAGATTGAAGGTGACAAGCGAGCAACACCGGGTTCGCTTTGCTTTTTCCCCAAAGCGAAGTTCAGCTTGAC